TGTATTTCAAAATATAAACTAAAATTTAGCATAGCGTTAGTTCAGGCAGATCACGGTCAGAATCCAGTACATCAGATGACAGCAGCACATCTCTTTGCCAGCCCTCATGAGCTGATGGTTCAGCTGATCTGCTCCTATACATTCAGTTGCATTTTCCTGGACAATATACAAGCCTAAGCAGGACTAGTTTTCCTCTGGATGTGAGAGGATGCTGACGTGTATATTGTAGTTTCTAAATCTAAGGAAGTACTGTGTTTTTTGTGAAATTAGTGCTTTTTCCTGCAAATAGGAATTGGTGTCTCTGCCACATTTGTACTAAGCTGATTAACAGCTAGCCTATCCATACCTGTAAGCTATCCACTAGTACTGTGCCTGTGTCAAACAGGGCAGGAACAGGCAGGCAAGAATACAGAACTAGAACACTGAATTTTGAGCCTATTTACTGGAATAATATATTCATGTTTATGGTTTTAAGTTCTATGCTGCCTGTGTTAAGAGTAAAATACATTGACTTGATTTTGCCAAGTTAAATTTAAAAATAACAACTTGTCATAACAACAATATCAACATTAACAATATAAATTCTGGATGAATCCTGTTCTGCTCTACTGCACATGTACACAGCTGAGCACTGAATTGAATCAACAAGATAGTGAGAAATAAGTAAAGGATGCTAATGTAATGTAAGGAAGCGTAGGTATTAGGTTTTTAATAAAATGACCTAACCTGTCTGGTAATAATGTATGATACAAATATACACCTACTGTGGGAAAATGTAAGAATTCTTCAGGTGTCTATCTGTTGCTGAAATACAGTCTATTACTGCCTGTCATTGATTAATTGATAAAAATTGGTCCTCAGCTGTGCAGAATGTGTGGCAAACCATTGTTGACTTCTGCATGTTTTAATTGGCTTTTGGTTTGGATTAAAAGCCATTGACTGTTAAGCTAACAGAGCCAACCTAAAGGAATACAGAAAGTTTTGTATGAAAATGGCCTAGTGACAAGGAGTAAAAGTCTAAAATCAGAAATGTCAAGGTGTTGTTTTGATGCTTCAGTTCAGTTCCACTGTGTTCAGTATGTGAGCTGTTAACTTGCTCTTCAGAGACACTCTCTGTTTTCCCTTAGTGGAGCCAAATATAAGATCTCTAACCTGCCTCCTCTGCTACACCATGGAGGTAGGAACTTATCAGCGGTATGTGGCTGACACTTTGTGCTGACATGCTGGTCAGAGAGCAGCACTGGGGAACTGGGAGGATTTTCTGTATTAGAGGGCAGGAAAGTTGTGCTGTGAAACTTAATGAGCAAACGTTTGATCTTCTCTCAAGTCTGGAGTGGGCTCACTCAATAGGTTTTGTCAATATAGTGTCTTTCCTTCATGCCATGGTATAACATCATCATAGCACATTGAATCCATGGATTTATGGGTAACTCATGGTTAAATTGAGGCAGCCCAAACAATTAGTCAGGATAAGAGAAAGCACAGCAACTAAAATGTTTATTGCAGTTCTGTGATGGATTGCAAACTTGTGTACGTCCACCATCCTTAAATGCTGCTCTAATCACATTGTGCACTAAAAAAAATACTTCATGTTAGGTGAATCAGTCTTTATTTTCTCCCCTTTGAATAAAGCTACAATAAAAGGGGAAATGCTACATTTCGTGTGTAGTACAAGGCAATTATAAACAGTGTTTTATTCCCGCTCAAGGCACACTGTATTGATTCCTTTTTCTATCTAAGCCTCTTCTCAGATGAAGGTTAGTAACAAAAAGTGTGAAAGGCACTGCAGTTTTAATACTTCTGGTGTCCAGAAGTTGGGAACCAGATTGTTTATATGTCACTTTGAGTGATCAGAGTTTGATTTGCATGGCTGCTATCTCTCAGTTCCTCATCTTAATGAGTCTGTGAGGAGATGGCAGTTTGTACAAAAATGCTGTAACTTGTCATTATGAATTACCTCTGAAACTGCTTTATTCCGTTTTACACAACATTTGCCTATAGGCCAAATTAGAAACACGGCTATAAGACAAGTGACCTGCAGTCAGTGACAAGGAAATGTTAAACAAATGGCTGTAAACACAGGATATGTTGAATAGTTTTATTGAAAAATGGTTGTGACCTAGGAAAACTATTAAATCCCAGTCATTTCTGAGATGTCTTTCTCCTACTTAACTTTAATTTGAGGCAGACTGACATCTTAAATTGTAAAAACAAGGGTTCTTGATACATCCTACAGACAGTGCAGCTGGATTCTTACAGACTCTGAAGACATTGTTTAAATGTAAATGGGGTTTCTAACACACACTTACACAACCTCCAAACTGCATATTCTCAAATAGTGGCCGGTCCGTATTTTCCTCAAATGCAGGGTAACAGGCCTTTACCTTACAGTGACAATTCTTTGAGTCAGCCAACCTTCATTCGGGCTGCAGGTGCTAAAAGGTGTGGTACATTTTCAGGATGACAGTGCAGGTATGTTTTATAATTCAATTCAATTCAATTTTATTTGTATAGCGCCAAATCATAATATACATTATCTCAAGGTGCTTTACATAGAAGGTCAAGACCTTAAAATTTTATTAATAAAGAGAAACCAAACCGTACCCACAATGAGCAGCACTTTGGCGACTGTGGAGGAAAAACTCCCTCATTACCAAGGAGAAACCTCTAGAGCCAGACTCAATGTGAGCGGTCATCTGCCTCGACCGGTTGTCGTGAGCAAATAAAAATGGGGAGGAGAGGGGAGGTGCTCTACCTCCTGTTCTACTCTTACAGACTCTTGGAACCACAAGAGAGCCTGTGTTTTGTGAACGAAGTGATCTATTTGGATAATATGGTGTCATGAGCTCTTTGATATATGAAGGGGCTTGACTGTTAAGGGCTTTATATGTGAGGAGCAGGATCTTGAATTATTTTCTGAATTTTACAGGGAGCCAATGTAGAGAAGCTAAGACGGGGGTAATATAATCTCTCTCTCTAGTTCCTGTCAGCACTTGTGATGCAGCATTTTGGACCAACTGGAGACTTTTAACAGTCTTCATGGAGCATCCTGCTAATAGAGAGTTACAGTAATCTAATCTAGAGGTTACAAACGCGTGGACTAGTTTTTCAGCATCCTGCTTAGACAGGATGTTTCTAATTTTCTTAATATTGCGCAGTTGGAAGAAAGCTTTTCCTAGAGACTTGTTTTATATGTGGGTCAAATGACATGTCCTGGTCAAACATAACTCCAAGGTTCCTTACAGTGGAGCTGGAGGCCAAACTGAAACACTCCAAGGTGACTATCTGTTCAGACAGTGATTCTCTGAGATGTTTAGGGCCAATTACAACGACCTCAGTTTTGTCTGAATCTAGAAGTAAGAAGTTTCGGGTCATCCAGGCCTTGATGTTCTTGAGACATTCTTGAAGTTGAACTAAGTGATTAGATTCATCATGCTTCATAGAAATGTACAGCTGGTAGTGTATGTGGTGCTTTCTGATGATGATGATATTAATCTGATTTAATATGGAACTGTCAATCAGGGGGAAAACTTTGTTAAAAAGTTAAGTTGGGACAGAGTTTAACTGACAAGTTGTTGGTTTAGATGATGAAACTAATAAGGTCAAGTGCTTTTTTGTAATTTATCAGGCTATCCTTCCAGGCTAGGTGAAAGTCATATTGATTGATGGAACACCACTTCCTCTCTAGCTTCTGTGATGTCTGTTTTAAAGCATGTGTTTGAGAATTATACCATGGAGCTAATCTCCTCTGATTTACCTTCTTCTTTTTTAGTGGGGCGACAGCGTCAAGGGTTGTTTTTAATGAGGCTGCCTATATATATAGTCAATCTCTATTGGACATCAAAGTCTTTTTGAAAATGTATATTTATTTATATGTATATATTTTACAAATTGAACAGTAAGCCTGTTAGATCCAGTACTTGTATCTGAGTGCACACCCTCTGTAAGAAGTGGCCCTCAAGTGTTGGTTTATAATAAATGTTTGTTAATAAATATAGAGTTTCAACATTTCTATCCATCCATGCACCTGCCTGCTCTCTACCTCTATTCATAAGACTGACACCTGCTGTTTATTAATAAAGGGATGCTGGTTCTGGGCAGTTTTTACAGGTGTTACATTTCACTAGGTGTTGCTACAGTCAAGATAAAATCTTTGAAAGAACATATTGTTAATCCAAGATTTACAGCAAATGTTTTTTATGTCTTGTCCCTGCTTATCCATAACTTGATTCCCTCACCTTTCCCCTCAATGTCTCTCCCCTTTAGGCATGCCCAGCTTCATTAAGTCACCGGATGATCAGACAGGGATCTCAGGAGGAGTGGCGTCATTCGTATGCCAGGCAATGGGTGAGCCCAAACCTCGCATTACCTGGATGAAGAAGGGGAAGAAAGTCAGCTCTCAGCGCTTTGAGGTATGAGTCAGGACCTTTCCTCAATCCTTTGTGTCTGATGTCTTGGAGGTTGCAGCATACCCAGTGTCTAACACCTTCACTGCTCATTTGTATTTGTTTAAGAGAGTGAAAGGGTGGCTCTCATTTCATAAGTGTCATATCATCTTTCCTTATCAGGATGTATGTGCAGCAGTGAGACTGTATAGGGTGCCCTAATATGTGCCACCATGCACCAGACCAAAACAACACATTTCCTCCATTTATTGCCTTCTGGAGACACAAATCAAAATAGTTGCAATATTTTGATCTATTCTGATAATATCTGAAACTCAGCAATACAGTTGGTGTAGACAATTAGACTGACTATGTCTGTAAGTTAGCATGTTATAGAGTTAAACTGTGTTAACGCAATGTCACTTAAACTTTATATGGTGACTCATCTGTGAACCGACTAGTTTTATTCTTCTAACTTTTTAAAGGTGTGCTCTTGGATGACTGTGCAAATTGGAAATTATGTGAATTGAATATAACTAACAAATATTTTCATTATCAGTTAATCTGATCAACTTTATGATCAACTAGGTATAGTTTACCAGAGAAAACGTGGTAAAAGTCCCCCCCAGGTATTGTTATTATTCATTTAAATGTTGATACATCTTTTTGTCTAAATTAATCAAAAGTTAACAGTTAACAAGTCACTCATAATAATGATAGGTAAAATGTCGCTGTTTTCTTTATAGCAAAACTTTCTTCTGAGTAAATTTGGCCATGCGTTTTGTTAAGTAGGCCGCTCTTCCTCCTTTGCCCAAGTTTTTTACAAAAACAAAAAATTGGCAAAAAATAAAGAAGCCTCGAACCATGTATGGACAGGCCTCTGACACAGGATTAATTCCCTGGACCTGAGGATGCTCTGACTATGTACAACTATGAATGAACTACATGACGATGCCTAAACGAACACACACACAGACACAGCCTGCACTCATCGCAAACCACAAAAATGTTTGGAATTTACGTGGGACCATTTATCATTTTTACTTGCCCGGTGCAAATGACATGAATAGCTTGCCTGATTTTGTGATGGAAAATTTAGGGCGACCCATGGAAAATGAGTGGCTTGTTTGCTGTCTGCTTTGTTTGAATGGAACTGAGCATTATGAAATATGTGTGTCATTTTACTTTTTGCAAAAAAAACAACTGCCTGCCAAAACCTACCTATTGCGGAGCAGAGTTTCCTCCAGTACAGATTAAATAGCCATGCACAGGTATGTTCTTGGGACAATCATACTGGAGGTTTTTAGAAGCAAACCTGTTGTTAATGTTCACCTAACATTAACAGTGTGTGTTTATGTGTCTGCATCTGTGTGTCTGTGTTATATAATTTAAACTTGCAATCACAATGGAATAGTTTTATGTGGGTTTTGGCAGCCACCTTTTCTCACCTCTTGTCACCTGTGCCAAAAAGGAATGTCTGCTAGAAACTTACCGTTCAGTGGAAAGCATACTTTCACTTCTGACAATAATGCAGGTATTACCTGACTACCTCTTTAATAATTATTAAGAATGCTCCTCAAGATGGTAAATTGTAAATGGTTTGTATTTATAAAAAGCTTTTCTAGTCTTGATGACCACGCAAAGCACTTTACAGTACAGTTTGCCATTCACCGATTCACACACACATTCATACAGTGCATCTATAAGGAGCACTTTTATGTTTTATGAGGGGCAATTTGGGGTTCAGCATTTTGCCCAAGAACACTTTGGAATGAACTGCCGACCTTCTGGCTGGAGGACAACAGCTCTACCCCTCAGCCACAGCCATCACTCAAGAGAGGGATTGAGATGAAGCAACAGATTAGGTCCAGTGTGTAATATTTAGGTGAAAGGGATCTATTGGCAGAAATTTAATGTAGAATAATCCTTATGATGTTTTCACTAGTTCCTTTCATCTAAATTGTATGAATTGTCGTTTTCTTTACCCCAGAAAAGGCCCTTTATATTTAAATACTTTATATTTACATCGAGGGGGTCCTCTCTACGGAAGCCACCATGTTTTTTACATTCGTGCAGACTGGACAAACTAAATACATTTTGAGTTTTTATGACAAATTAAGGCTACCACAGGTTCTTTTTCATGTTTGGAAGTGGAGGGTGAGGTGAGGGGTGTTCAGCTGCAACATGCAATGTCAGCACTAGATATCACAAAATTCTACACACTGTACCTTTATCATGAAATATTTGTGACATATTCCTTTATTGTGATGTCCATAAATGTGCAGGACAACAAGCAAAGCGATGAAACTCAAAACATGGCCAGTGAGGTGTGTGTGACAGCTTACCACTGCTGAGATAGAAAAAGCAGTCAGTAATGTGTGGGATGAACTGAAATTAACTGCTCCTGCTTTAATGAAAGAACATGTCACCCAGTGCAATAATATGGTTCTCATTACAGAGAGGCAATAATCTGTCAGGCTGTGATCTGCTGTTGAGGCTGCTGGTCAAGAGCAAACAGTTCAGTCACGATGACCAGCTGCTCCACCTTCAGGGTCTTCTCCTGTGAGAACAGTCATATTTCAGTAGTCCATTTGTAATATACATTACCACTATAACATTTAAACTGGTACACAATAGGTTAATCAATGTATATGGAAGTGTGCATGACATTATTTGGCCTTTTCATGATAAAGACAATAAGCCAACAGGAGTGTTTTACAAAGGAGAATGTAAATATGTCTCATTCAAGTGCAGAATATGTGTGCACTGTAACCAGAATCAAGACATTTTATGCATTCAGGTGTATTAATGCACACTGAAACTGCTTGATAAATTTGTTTCGTAAGAACCTTCCTACAGGACTGTGGACCCAAATGACTTAAAGTTAAGTGACTCATTATGAGTCCTGCATATAGATGGAGACACTTGGTTCATGTCCAAGTGAGCAATAGGAATTATCTTCTACCGGCCTGCTCAGCATAACTCAAACTGATGGCTACCATGTGTGCTCACTGAATGGGTAGGGGAGGTGGGGGTCATACTGACTCCCTATGCAGGGAGACAGTCCAGCTTGTTGTAACTTCAGTTATTCAGCTTTATTCAGTAAAAATTGGGCGTGAGTACTGTGTGTGTGTACTTTGCCAGCTTTTAAGGAAGCAGTAATTACACCTATCTGCTTAAAAATGTCTTCTCGTACCACTTTAGACTGTCCACTAGCTCACTGATGCCCTGATCCAGGTCTGGGGAGAGATCCCCCAGGACACCATCCACCAACTCATCAGGAGCATGCCCAAATGTTGTAGGGTGTGCATACAGGCACGCAGAGGCAATGCAGAGTACTGAGTCACATTATGAAGCTGGATCAGCCAGTGATCTATTTTTTTAAGTGTGACAGTTCTGACAGGAACTAGAAAGACAGAGATTATATTACTCCTGTCTTAGCTTTTTTGCATTGGCTCCCTGTAAAATTCAGAGTCATATATATTTTATGAAGTACTTTTGTAGTCTTAATGACCACTCAGAGTGCTTGACAGTACAGTTTATTGCCATTCACCCACAGATTCATACAGTGCTTCTTTCTTTCTTTTTTTCTATAAGGGGTAATTTGGGGTTTCGTGCCCAAGGACACTTTGGCATGCAGTAATATGACAATAATATGATGGAGATTGTTTAATAATTTTGTACATACACAGGTACAGATTTTTTCTCTGCTTTAATTTTACACATGAATCCGTCATGTTCTTTTTAGATAATGCAATGACAGATCCTTAGATGCTCAGTGCCCCACAAGTTGGAAATCGAGGCAGGCCATGATAGAAAGAGTCCTGGAGCAGTGTTTCTTTTGTGAAGCCAGTCCTCCTCATTTTTAGCTCCTTTGTCCTGAAAGTTAACGATGATGATCCTGCACTAACATGAACCATCAAGACCAAACTCCCGAGCTACATGGATGAAAAATACAAGGACCCCCTGACACAAAAACTAATGGACATGGCCTGTGCTCTTAATCCACGGTTCAAGTTGAGATGCATCAGTGCGGACAACACAAATCCAAGACTTACTTCTTAGAAGAGGTGGCAAACGTACTCACATTCTTTACTTAAGTAAAAGTACAAATACTTAAAAAAGACTCTGGTAAAAGTAGAAGTAGAGATGCAACTCCTTTACTCAAGTAAATCAAGAAAGTACAGGCTCTGAAATGTACTGAAAGTACTAAAGTAAAACATTTTGTTATCATCAATGATACACAATGCCTCTTTTGAGAACTCGTCAAAATGAAAAAAGTTGTAGGCAAACAAAATAGGATAGTTTCACTCTTTTGTTTACAACCTGCACTGAGCTGGTACAGAGAAAAACAATCTAGTTTTGCTGCCAAATTCCAGACAGAATAATAAAGACTGAACAGAACCGAGGTCCTGCATGAGCACCTGGATCATTTTTACAGGGAATAAATGGATGGGGAATGTGCTGGCCTTGATTAAGTCCCTGCCCCTTGTGCACACCGCCTGTCGCTACTACCTACTGGCTGGTTTAGTGAGGTCCTCGGATCGGCCCCGCCAGAGTTGGTCACAGCCCTGGTGGAGCGCAGAGAAGACAATCAAAGTTGACTATCTATAGGAAGTAAAAGTCATACCTGCAAACCTACCATGTGAACCTGTGGAAGGATCATTACCGGTACAGCCACTTGACCTCAGTCGACCTCCGCAACCTGACCACCCTCCGGACGCATAGGGTCTCATGCTGAACTCTTGGCAACAAAATTCTAATTCTCATTTCTTTCCAGAAACATGCAGCCCTATCAGATTTGACTTGATTTTTGTAATTTCAAGTTCAAACCTTGAATAACATACAAGCTCTTTACCATGGCTATATAATCTGCTTATGTCATTCTGAGTACGAGGATTGTTTCACCTCTTGGAGAGTGTTACTCAGACTAATGGCTTCCCTGTTTGTACGTTGGAGAGACCTCCTACCAAGACAGGAGTTCAGCTCTGTAACTCCTTCATTAGAGCAAGAATGAAATTCTCACTGTTGTTGGGTCACACACACACACAAACTGCAGGTGGGTGGAAGTATAAAGTCCAGTGCCATGACCTCTGAATCTTTATGCCCCAAGAGTCCCTAAGGCCCCTCACATAACTGATATCCACTCAAGCTTGTCACTGTCTACCAGTGCCTTCAGCTGTTGAGGTCAGGACATAGGTAATTTCCAGAATCATGGTGGATTTGGTCACCACACTGCTGGGATCTGATAGCTTGGAAATCAAGTAAAGAGGAAGCAACAGCAGTCAGGTGATATGACAGCTTGTAAACACT